GTGGCCATTGCAGGAGATTGATTTGACGTTCTGGACGACGTCGCCGGTGGCGGGAAGTGGAAGACATAGTTTCTCAGCGGCGGAAGGAGGGGGTGGATCTAGTGGATGCTGGCGCGGCGGAAGGATCACGGCGGAGGTCAGGTAAAGATGGACGAAGCGTAGTTGGCGGCGGTAGATCTGGAAGCTCGCCAACGACATGGTGTAGACAACGTCCAACAGTGGTCATTGACGGTCGGCGGGCCGTGTGTGGCTGTCTGTGTACAGCGTGTGCATGTGTGTGTAAATCGTGTGTGTCTGGTATGTTTTTGTGTGTGTTGCGTGAAGGAGACGTGTTTGTAACGTGTGTGTGCGTGAGAGAGGGTGGTGTTTGTGTTTCAGTGTGTGAGAGAGGATGGTGTGTGTGTCAGTGTGTGAGAGAGGGTGGGTGTGATGTGTCATGTGTGTCCACATAGCATAGAATTTATGGTTGTGAGTGAGTGATTAGTTGACATGTTCAATGTTTGATAATTAAAATGTCTAAAATACCCATAATAAATAAATAAATGATGACTTTTTTGTTACTGCTGGATCATTTAGTCTGATGGCTAGGATTTATTCTTATTTCTTTCAATGAGGACCTTTCTCATCAGAGCGCATCCCTATATATATATATATATATATATATATATATATATATATATATATATATATATATATATATATATATATATATATATATATATATATATATATATATATATATATATATATATATATATATATATATATATATATATATATATATATATATATATATATATATATATATATATATATATATATATATATATATATATATATATATATATATATATATATATATATATATATATATATATATATATATATATATATATATATATATATATATATATATATATATATATATATATATATATATATATATATATATATATATATATATATATATATATATATATATATATATATATATATATATATATATATATATATATATATATATATATATATATATATATATATATATATATATATATATATATATATATATACTAGTACATAGCCCGTGCCATGCACGGGGTGCGATTCACGTGACACATATATTAAATGAGTCATTTTAATAAAGCTTCCCCGTTTAGGCACAAAAAATAATAGGGTCAAATCATTCATTTTCCATATTTTTTAATCAGTGATGTTTATTTTAGCTAGAACATTATCATGTTAATTAATATATTATTCCGTTAACACGTTATACTTATATAAATTTGGTTTTAGAATATATATTTATATATTGATATAAGAAAAAAATAACAGTATTACTAATGTTTGTTCAACATATAATAATCAATATTTAAATTATTATATAATTTATTTTCATATAATTTCATTTCTAGTATTTATAAAATTTGTAGAAGTAGTCTATTTCTTCTTCTTCTTCTTCTTCTTCTTAATTTATGTAATTAAAAATATTTAATGTATGTAAATATTACTTATTAATGTAATCAATTTAAATTTATGTAAATAAATTTGAAATAAGTATTTTGTATAAATTTTACAAAATACACACACATGTTTTTTAGAATTTAATTTTCTCATAATAAATAAAAAATTTTGATTTAGAAATTGCCGAAAAATAAATTCCTTATATAATCAAGAGGTTTTTCTAATTTGCATCCTACGGCTTTATAGTTTATTTATATGGAATGGGAATATATTGTGCAATAAATTCATTATGGATACCAATATAAAAAAATAATAAAAAAAAAGTTATCACGGTTGACAATAATATACAAATAAATATCATGTTTAAATTTTAAAGAATGGTTGATATATTTTAATTTTATTATCTGGTGATTTGTAAAATTATTTAATGTATTTGATCATCTCTTAAATGTTAAATTATTTTTAACAAATATGACTATTTTTTATATAATTAAATAAAAGTTAAAAATATTATCGACAAATATTAATTTACCAACTGTATTTCGCCTAATTAGTTGGAAGAAAAAAATTACTTAACATGTTATGATTGTTTATAAATATTTTATGATGAAAGTCAATATTTGTGAAAAAATAAAACAATAATAATATGGTTAAGCCTTAAAATATGTTTTCATGTTTATATTGACCAAAATATATCAACATTAATCACGAAAAAATAAATTATAATTTATTATAATGGATATCAATAAAATTATTTTAGATGAATAAAATCATTTAAGGAAAGAATCGTTCTGATCATATCTGATTTCAAAACGTGTTATATGAAAGCAATTAATGCATATATTTACAAACTTTCCAAATAAGGTGTGCATTAAGGGTGAGTTTGGTTGCCCATATTGGGCTTGATATCATGCAAAATGATATTATATCAATAAGTATAAATTGTTTGGTTGAGAACAAAAAAGCCTGTGATATAACCAAAAGCCCGTTTTTTCCCTCTTTTTGCTATTACGTGTCCTAACTCTAGTGAGGGATACCTTATCCTTTTATTTAAGTGGCCTAGCTAAATGTCCAATTTGCCATCCTCATTCATCAGATATAGAAAATCAATTCTCTTCATTCCTCCATCTCCATGTCTTTAGATCTGAAGCATTAACAAAGAGAGAAAGCTCGGAGAAAATAAATTATTTAGCATAGGGTTTTCGCAGTTCTTGTCGTCATCTCCCTCATCATGTAATTCACCAATCACGACTATCAATTCGCAGGTCTATCGCCAGATGCTCGATTTCTGGCAACCTGATCCCACCCCACCTGCGAATTCCACAAAATCACCGGCGGGCTCGTCACCGAAATTGACCTCTCGGAGCATAACCTCCCCAGCCCGGTCCCCTTAAAACCATATGAGGGCTTAATACGCTCGAGAAGCTCGCCCTGGGAAGGAGCAAGCTCAGCGGCGGCGTGGCGGAGGATCTGAATAACTTCTCCTTCCTCAAGTACATGGATTTGAGCAACAATTATTCTTCGGACCTATCCCAGACTTATCGCCCATGAATAGGCTCGTCTATATATATCCCAATGCCAATGGATTTTCATGGGTTTTTCTGTGGCCGTGGAACTCCGACAGCCACATTACCTATCTCCATATTTTGTCAGATCTAAGAAATTACTCGGATCTACTCAATGCTAGTGATCTATGGTTGGTTTTTTGTACATATTGTTGTGTTGAATTTGTGTGTGTGTGTGTTTTTTTTTTTAAAAAAAAAAATTGGTATATTGCAGATGCTCATTAACCCCTCTTTGGATTATTTGGGCTGCAAATTATATGTTGGCCATTTGTATGACAACTTCTTCAAGAAGATGGGGTCAACTTGGGGAAATATATTTCATTTCATTCATTTGTATTTTCAACCAAACAAGAGAATAATTTAATGGACCGGATTCAAACCAATGTACATGGTTAACCAAACAAGACTATAAAGGAGATACAATCACAATTAATCTCATTGAAGCCCAAATGTGATATAATCATGCACAATACCAAAGTTCAACCAAACGGACCCTAAGAGTTATAACTTGTTTCTGGGATGTCAAGCTCCTACACTTTCCTTGAGATTAAGAGAGTAAGAAGAGGCGTCAGTGATAATTATATTAATTGAGTAATAATTATATTTTTATTGTATGACACAATTGTTATTATTAAAACTAATAATTATATTTTACACTAAATAATATATGAAAGTTACATAAACATAAAAAATTCTATTGTACAAACTTTTTGTTCAAGTTATTTATTCTAATTCAATATTATATATTTCTCTTATTAAGCGATTGTTTTTTAAATAAATCAAATTATTTTAATGTCATAGTAAAGCTCCTTAAAATCGCATAAGCAATTGTTATAATAAATTTAATATTTTTCATCTAATTAATCGGTCATGATCCCTCAATATTACAAAATTACATTATTTATTATGTTTTATGCAGTTATTATAGTGATTCATATGCAATCAAATCATTATGTAATATTTATTTCAACCAATGATCAAAGTTTAAAACATAATACCATTATCTAACTTATAATATTAATATTATATGCATAAATATAACTTATTATACCCTATGTTTAAAATATAATATCATTGTCTAAATTATAATATTAATATTATATGCATACAAATAACTTATAATACTTTATTTATATCTGTGCAAATGCACATATCGAATACTAGTGATTATTAATATGGTGGACTAATGTGAAAGAAAAAAAACATTAATGATATATTATCTAACCGAAAATAGAGAAAAACTGAAAGAATTTTATGAAAAACTTTTTGAATAGTCGAAATATTAAGGCTTGATTGTTTATGAAATAATTTACTCAACTTTATTTCATTCTCAAAATCTAACTCAGCACCACTATGTTTAATATTATTTATATAATTAAATAATATAAACAATCATTTTTGCACATCACATCAACTTTAATTCACTATTCATCAACTCACATAATTTTAACTTTTCAATCATTTATCTCTTAATTTTACATCAAATCAATTTTAGTCATTTTATTTTAAATATTATTTTAATTCATTTTTTAAATTTAACTAACAATTAACTATATTAACTTTTTTAAAATTAACTATAATTAACCAAAATAATTTATTTTGAACAAATTATTTCATAAACAATCAAGCCTTAAAAGTTATAAAATGCTTTTCGAATTACATACACAAATGCTACATTAGTATTCATATTTTTTTTTTAAAAAAAAAAAAATCGACGATGCTCCAATTTTCGCATGTGTGAAGCTCGTGTGGCATTTAAAGCAGCAATTTTGAACTTTGAATGCGTCATTTTTTACCAGAAACGCCTCTGGTCCACGATATATTACCAAAATATCCCTACCACAATCAACGGTCACGATCAAGCAACTGTCCAGCTCATGCAAAAAAAAAAAAAATTCCCTCCTTCCTCCTGTCCTGCAAAGATCAATTACCCAAACAAATAGAGGTAGGACAATAGTAAAATACATACAATATATACATACAAATTTTCTCCGTAAATTACTGATCATGAAAATTCAATTTTCGAATAACTCCAATTCAATGCAGCGCCGTTTCCATTTTCCGTAGCTCTACATTTCATCGCATCAAAAGTAATGAATTCTGGTAATGTTTAAATCTCCGCGGCTTTTGAATTGATTGAACATTTTTAGTTCCGTAAACATTTTCAATATTTTCTCTATATTCCAGCTGCTTCAGCTGAATCTGCGTTTTTCATTTGATTACATACAATTGAGCCGTTTTATGATATGTGGGAAATGTGCTGCTGCTCGTGATATGTGAAATTTCAGCTGAACTCCTTTTATTTTTTATATAGGTTCGTTCGTTTTTGTGGTGTTTGGAATAAGGTACATTTTCTGGTTTTGTTGAGAAGCTGAACTTTTGTTGAAACCGACGGTTGTACTGATTGTTTTCATTTTCAAATCCTCTTTGGGGTTGTGTGGTATCGGTGTACTTTGGTGAGAAAATGATTCTCTCAGTTAACAGAGCCGTTTGATGTTTGGAGACAGCAACTTGGAGGAGGAGGAGTTTTTTGAGGGAAATTCTTTAATCAGATGTTGAATAAGAATGGCAACCATAAGAGCTCCAGCAACTAAGAAAACTACAACTCTTACTGTTAGTTCAGTTCTTTTCCTTGACCAATTTTATTCTTTGTTTTTGTTTATTGTTCACTAATTTAAGATTTCTTATTTTTTATTCTTTTGGTTATTGTAGGTGGCTGTTAAATGTAGGCCATTAACTGAGAGAGAACGCGGCCGAAATATAGTAAGAGTGCACGATGACAAGGTCTGACATCTTCTCTTTTCTATTAGAATTAAAACTGAACAAATCCCGGTGAGAAATGCAAAGTAATCGTTAATGTAGGAAATACTTTTACTGGATCCTGATCTTTCAAAAGACTACCTAGATCGTGTACAAAATCGTAGCAAGGAGAGGAGATACACTTTTGATTATGCATTTGGCCCTGACTATTCCAATTCGGTATGGGCTTCATCTTTTTTCATATCCATATGACTAGTTCTGGATTTGTACATATGTCTATAAATGCGCTTGTGAAATATACTAATTTCCTGAAAAAAAATCACTCAATTGATGTTCTGATATAATGCTTGAATTAGCCAACATGTACTCAATTGAGGATTTTGTTTATTCATGTATCCTGATATCTAGTGTTCAATACTCTTAATAGATAAAACAGAGGTGGTCGATGCAATTATAAGTTGTACTGTATTGTATCCACAAGATCTGCCATGTTGGTGATATGTGAAGAACAAAACTATCATTCAGTCGTCTATTTCTGGCTTATATAGTATACAATCTGTCATCTTTCTGCACCTTGTTTTCGTTTCTCAACTTGATAGGTGGTCATCACTTTGCCTCATCATTGTTTTGGTGTTTCATATTCTTGAAACTCAGAATTTAGTGATGAATACAGATGTACGATTAATTGATTCTGGTTTCTGAATGTCTAAAAAGTTGAAACGCAACCATGGTTTTCACTTTGTTTGTGGGACTGGATACATGGGTCGTGTGTCTGTATATTTGGATTAATGTAGAAAATTGATGAAGCTGCTTCTTTATATAGGGTGTCTATGAAAGAAGTGTACGATCCACAATTGTTGGGGTTGTCCAAGGTCTCAATGCCACTGTATTTGCTTATGGTTCCACTGGGAGGTATATTGACTGTCTGAAAGCATATTACAGTAGGTACTTGCTACAATGGAGTGAAGAACACCTGTGTCTTCTGCTTATTTGTCTGAGTGATGCAGTTACTTCTGTCTTCTGCGTTCTTTTAATTACGAACGTGTTAGAAGTTGCCTGGCCGAGTTCTGTTGATTTATTTGTAACCTACAATTTACAGTAATTACTGCAAATGATTTCTTTTAACTCATAACTATTGTGGCTGGTAATCCATTTCACCACTCAAAAAATGAGTCAGCTTAAGACATTTATTTGTGCTCGGGAATAAGTTTGCTGCATATGAAATAATTTTTTCAGCTGTGAAATTATCCAGTTATTACTTTACTGCATAACCTTTGACTTGAAACGAACCATTTATGAACTAACCATCTTTTTGGTAACTGATATATAATAATAAGGAAATGTTTCTTTTACTCTATATTTACATTCAACCTGAGTTTTCAGTAGTATTGGTGGATAATATAAGGTCAAAGGATACACATGCACCATCTCAAAAAGAATTATTATTGATTACCTATAATTTCTTAGCTGTTAGTTTCTTGTCTAATACCAACAAGTATAGGTACCATGATTGTCACTGAAGGGGAACACAGTAAGTTTTCGTTAGCAATTGCCACTCCATCAGCTTATTTTATTTTGTCCGCTTGTTAATGTGCTAAATACAAGAACATGGATTCAGATTATTGGACATTTGTTTGCGTATTATATCTTAATTTTGCTCATGAAATAAAATTTGATGTGAATTTGTTGCTAATAAATTTTCCAATTTTCTTTTTTTTCCTTCTAAACATTGTCAGCGGCAAGACATATACCATGGTTGGAACTCAAGATGACCCTGGACTAATGGTTCTAAGCTTAAATACAATATTTGATCTTATTGAGAAAGAAAATCGCTCTGATGACTTTGAAGTTACATGCTCATACCTTGAAGTCTACAATGAGGTGGGTCATCAAATACTTCCTTTACGAAATTTCAGATATATACTTTCTTGACGAAATTCTCTTTGTATATGAAATTATTTTCGTGCAGGTCATTTACGACTTGCTCGAAAAATCATCAGGTCATCTGGAACTAAGGGAAAATCCAGAACAAGGAATACTTGTTGCTGGCCTAAGAAGAATCAAGGTAATTATCTCAGTTCTTTCCAGTAAAATTTGATCCGGTATGTATTGAATTATCCTGCATTTTTTCAAATGCTTCATCTATCTGACACTTCTGATTCATTGATCGGAAATTCGTGGCGTTAGTTTTCGTCTTATATAGTCGTGTCATAATGTTTTGAACATATACTCTACATAAAATTATCAAAACTTAATATCCTTGATGTTATGCATATTCTCAGGTGAATTCAGCTGACAGGATTCTTGAACTATTGAACTTGGGGAACAGTAGGCGAAAAACTGAAAGTACAGAGGTTAATGAAACTTCCTCACGGTTAGCAGCTTCTTCTATAATATTATTTATTCTCATAATGTTGCTGCACCTTTTTGTCTTTTGTTACTTTCTTTTCCTTTTTTTTTTCCCCCTGAAATGGGAAGTAGAGCATAATTTGTTTCAATAGAACTAAATTGTATTATCATGCTTAGGCATGCCTTTGTTAGATCATGTCAGTAAGTGGTTCCATGTTTAGTCCTTTGAGGTCAAGTTTGGATGCCTTGAACTTTTGAAACTCTTTTTTAGTACTCTAGGGTGAACCAGTTCACAAGCGCAACCACTTCTTTTTCCTTTTCTAAAATTGCTATCATAAAAAAACCTGAAGACTGCTTCTAGCTGAAGGCATAGTGTAAAGCGTTGATTCTCCATTTTTAGTATTGATATTTGTTACAGATAATTACTCATCGTGCTGGTTTCTTCAGTCCATCAACCTTCTTTTACAAGTTGATACATTGTATATCTTTTCAACAGCTCACATGCAGTTTTGGAGATAAGTGTAACAAGAAAACGACATAAACAATATCCCAAGCAGATTATCAGAGGAAAACTTGCACTTGTCGATCTTGCTGGCAGGTTTGTTCATCCATTATGTATGTTTTGCAAAAAACTTTTAGTTTTACTTCGCTTATGAGGCACAGCTGGGATAATTCACATTACAGTGAACGAGCATCTGAAACAAATAATGCTGGCCAAAAATTGAGAGATGGTGCCAATATAAACAGATCACTTCTTGCTTTGGCGAACTGCATAAATGCTTTGGGCAAGCAGCAGAAGAAGGGTCTTGCGTATGTGCCATATCGGAATAGGTCTCTCTCTTTGAACAAGCGCGTGCGCACACACACTGTGAATTAGAAGTATGGTGGTAAGCATGCGTACTGATGTTGATCTAAAATTTTCTCCAGCAAGTTGACGCGGATTCTTAAAGATGGTTTGAGTGGCAATTCTCAGACAATAATGGTTGCTACCATCTCACCAGCTGATAATCAGTATCACCATACAGTCAATACTTTGAAGTATGCTGACCGGGCAAAGGAAATAAAGACACATATTCAGGTTAGAAAGATACCATATCCCCTATAAGCAACACATGCGTCTGAGTTTCCGAAAACTAAGAAGAGTGGTCCAGTGGATATTGTCGTAATATTGTCCACATTTAGCAAAATAACATCATATACTCACCCGAACAGGTTATGTAGATTTCTTCTAACATTCTACTTAAAGTAGCGCATAATCTGTTGGAACAATCTGAAGAATCAAGATTTTGTAAACTATCCATCAACTCAGTGATTTTCATTCTCCTTAAACATGGGTGATGGTTGATATAAGACTTACAAAACATGACCCTGGTTCTAGAGCTTTGCTCTGTCAGTTGCTGTATGCTTTTTGTCTTATTTTGGCCATCGCATGCCCAATAGCATTTGAGTGTTTGTAACATGTGTATTAATAAAGCATATGGTTCTCAGAAGAATATTGGCACCGTCAATGCTCCTGTATCAGACTACCAGAAGATCATCGACAATCTTCAGGTAATTGTTAACTCATACAATCTCCATCTTTTAGGGTAGTATTATATTGTAATGTTATGAGGATCAATTGATCTTTCAGAATGAGGTTGGCCGCTTGAGAAAGGAATTAGCAGAGAAGGAGTCACAACTTAATTCTAAGCATACTGAGAGATCACCGGATGATGAATTATCTTGGTTAAACTCATTGAGCCAAGAAACTAGTGAAAATGTGCTGGAGAGGATAAATTTACAGAAGGCTTTAATCGAACTTGAAGAAACTAACCTTTGTAACCGAAAGGAACTCCAACATCTTGATGATGCTATTGCAAAACAGCAGGTTATGATTTGGTTTCTTTATCCAGATATTATCTCTAATATAAATTTTAGTTTGTAACCCATTCCATATTTTATCTGGTTTCTAATAGTGAGAATNTTTTCTTCTATCCATTTTTTTTGCACTGCACTGGAAGCAAATTAGTGTTTAGATTATGAATGAATTATGAAGCGTCCTATGCTTTCTGGTTGCAGGTTATTGAAAATGACGGAGCTGTAGTGCAGGCTTTGCAAGCAAGACGTCAAATGATTCTCGATAACATTCGTGATAATGATGAGCTTGGTGTTGGCTACCAGAAGGTACTTTGGCTAATGAGTAGTGTCTTTTTCTAATTTATCTTCTATTGACACCAAACTTGTCTCCTTGTAGGAAATTGAAGCTAATGAGCAGTGCCGGTTGCAACTACAGGATATGATTGATGAAGCCATTAGGAATAACGGCAACAAAACATACTTAAGCATCTTGAGCCAGTACCGACTGCTGGTAAGCAGATACTAAAATTTTTGCTGTATCACTCTTTAATGGAACGATTACATAAACTATCCCTAGGTTTAATCTAATATCCAGTTTGTAAACCAAAAAACAATATTCCGTTTATTAATATGGCTAAAACCTGTGGAGTAGGCTTTGTAGATATCCGTCTCAATCATAACAATTTATGACGTTAGAGCATTTATACTGCAACTTCAACAGGGAATAAGTAACACCGAACTCCAATTCGAAATCGCAATAAGGGACCAAATTATAAACAGCCAAAGAGAAGCACAGAGAAACTTATGGAAGCTGCTCACAAGCTTGGGGCTCAATGAGAAGCAGATTGTCGAGCTTGGAGCAAAGCAAGGAATCACAGTTGAAGACTTTCAGATGACACCACCAGCAGATGTGCTGTCAAATATGAAGTATGAAGGAAACACTCCCTTACACTGTACCACATTACCTTGCTTCTTTCCTCAAGACCGGGAATTGAGTTCGAGATGCTTTCCCCATGCATTTTTCAGAGAGGAGCTCCATGCTTCGTATTATTATGTCCATCATGGGTCATCTCCTCCAGGCAATCAGCAGTGGCAGTCAGGCTCTTGTTTGTGTCCGTATGACGAGAGTGTTGTTTCGGCTTCATCTAATGGGAGCAGCTGCCGGGCACGACAGCAGGTATTCTAATTATTTTTAAGACTGATTGTGAAAGTAAATTTACCGTTTATCTTTTAGTAAGTTTTTTCTAAGACAAATGTTGTTTTTCTCTATAAAAGAACTATGGAAAAGCTTTTAAGGTTGGTTACTGGCGCCACCACTCAGATATCTTCTAAGTACATATAAATTTCAATTTTCTTGCTAAAGTACAAAGATTTCATTCAGGTCTGTTTTTACCTTACATATAACCCCTCTTCACTGCCTCTACGGGTGTATATGTCTGTACGACTTGTACAAATTTGATGGGGTTATTTGTAACGTTGGAAGTTAACTTTGCAAAACTCGAGCCATATCTATTTCATGCTGTTAAGACTCACGACCATTTTCAAGTTTCTACGGAATGCATGGGCGGTGACTAATATGAAGCTTGTATTTGATTGTTAATTTAAAGATTAACATTAAACTCTGAAGATATTTGGGTATTTAACTCTCTTTCGCAGTGAATATCGTAAACTGCTAGACTCATTGTTTTCTTTTTAAAGAATACATCCTAAACAAGATTACGAATCAGACTAATTGTTTTACTTGGTATAGAACTTTTTTCTTGAATCATTTATAAATCTTACTATTTTCTGACATTTATACAGGATGCATGGGCCGTAACTAATAGGACAGACATAAACATGAACTCTTACGTCGGAACGAGTACCATGTGGGACCCGTGTAAAGGTAACCCAATGCATCATGGTGGGATTGGTGAAGCTAATTTTGGACATCTTTCTGTGAAACAAGATTCGAACAAGGTTAATCCTGAGCATGGTTTCCCAAAAGCTCTAAATTCTTCATGCTCCAGTATCCCAAGTATACTTCCTTCTCATGTAACTCCCAAGTTCAAAGGAGAGCAGTTTTAGTGCGATCATAGACTTGTTACAATACAAAGTCACCCGATTCATGTTGAACTTTGTTTTTCTTTTAATTTTTCTCTTTTCCGTTTCTTCTAATACCCGTCGCCCAACAACGTTGCGCATGTGTTGCCCGTCGTCACCGGGGATGCCGCGCCCTCGGTGTGATTCTCGCCGCGTGGCATGACGTTTGCGAGAAGCTCGCGTGTCGACTTGTGAGCCCAGCATGTCCGCTCGTTTGCAGCCTGCTTGCCTGCATCTGCAGGGTCTGCTGCCAGCCTGCCGCGGGCTGCGCCAGACCAACGGTTATTGCCAGCGGTTGTGCGTGGCTTTAGCTAGCCTACTACCGTCGCCTGTCTATCGTCGGCCTTTCGCTCCCAGAAGTTGAACGACACATTGTGGCATGTCGTCGGTCATCGTGGGCTGATCGCCTATGGCTAATTCTAGTCTTCGGGAATTTATATATATATATATATATAGAGAGAGAGAGAGAGAGAGAGAGAGAGAGAGAAATGAGAATGAGCCTGGATCATTGGATCCAACATATCAATGGTTTTGATTAAGTCAAATTTTAAATATGGTAGTCAAATAATAATGACAATTTCGTAAATAAGTGTATGTTTCATAGTCAAATGTTTAATGTTGACCACTCATTAAGGGCATTTATGTCATCTCATAAATTTCAACCCACCACCTACCTTCTACCTTGTGGGTCCCACCATAACAACTATCTCTCTTTCCCACACAACACACATACTCGGTTTTCACACACACCCACACACGGTTAACGCACAGACACACACACACACACACGTTTTTCACACACAGACACACACATGGCCAATATCCGCCAGCAACCGCCGTCGAGCTCCTCGTCGCCACCATAAACAACTCACCGAGACGACGACATGCCCCAGTCCGGTCACCAGATGCCGTGCTCGCCGTCGTCGCTCTGCTCGCCGAAGAGATCTGCCATCCCTGTCGATTCGATTGCTGACGAAATCCAGGTCGAGAACGGCGGCGTCGGGACATTAGAAGCAGAAGAAAACGGTCAGTGACTGGAGCTCCGGTGAACGCAGAGGAGGTTGAAGGTTCGACGGAGGTAAAAAAGACGTTGATGGGGTGACCATTATGGTGGACGCGATGACGGGAGTCGGCGTCGCATCTAACCTCCGGTCATGGTGGTCGGCGGCGGCGAAGCCGACTCTGCGCTGGAGCTGGTCGGGTTTTCAGTTTTTTAATGGAGGGCTCAACTTTGTAAATTTGACAAGTTCTAGGGACTTGATTGAAATTTCAAAACTTTTGATATATTCCAATTTAGTTCATGGGTCAAATTGTAATTAATCAAACTATATAATTAATATTTAAATATTATTTTATTTAATAGTGAAAAATATATAATATGTACATAAAAATACATTAAAAAAAAAAAATTGGCATGGAACCGGAATAACCGAGTTTTTAAAAGTAAATTAATACAATCAAACCGAAATTTAAAGTTTTGAATTGAAAAAATTAGTTCGGTAGGTGTCCTTTGTTACTGTGCGATATAATAGTCATTTATGTGCATTTCGTGCGACACTAATGTGCACCTGCTATACATAAAAATTAAAATAATAATAATAATAATAATAATAATAATAATAATAATAATAATAATAATAATAATAATTCTATTAATAGTAATAATGACAATTTTCATATTTTTTTCAAAAATCAAGTTATTTATATATTGATAATTTTATTTGTTATTTTTATATTATTTTCAGTTGAAAAAATTTGAATTCGGCTTCGATATATAATGCGCAATCCGGTATTTGTGATAAAGTGCAACGTGTTGTGTTGTAAAGTGCAACATGGTATTTTATAAAGTGCAACGTGTGTACGTATAAAGTGAAATGAAATGATGTAATTTTTAGATTTTTGTCCCAAATCAAGTTATTTATATAGTAATATTTTTATTTGTTATTATTATATTATTTTCGGTCGAAAAGATTTGAGTCCGGCTTCGATATATAATGTGCAATCCGATAGTCGTGATAAAGTGCAACGTGTTGTGTTGTAAAGTTCAACATGGTGTTTATAAAGTGCAACGTGTGGACGTATAAAGTGAAATTATGTAACTTTCATATTTTTGTCCCAAGTCAAATTTTTTATATATTAATAATTTTATTTGTTATTTTTATATTATTTTCAGTTGAAAAATTTTGAGTCCGGCTTCGATATATAATGTACAATCTGGTAGTCGTGATAGAGTGCAACGTGTTGTGTTGTAAAGTGCAACAGGATGTTTTATAAAGTGCAACATATAGACATATAAAGTGAAATTATTTAATTTATTATTTTCATAAATTAGTTTTATTATATATAATTATGAATGTAATTACACTAACTAATTGACATATTTGTATTATTTGTTATTTAATGCAAAAATTTTATGCAGACATCATCATAGAATTAGAAGCAACATCTTAACTTTTAATATTACAGATTTGCCATGATGTCATAATTGAAATATAAGTAAAATTTATAAATTGCAATTAGACCCTTTATCCCTTTCTAATTTTCAAAAAAAAGTCCTAACTCAATTAACCATGGCAGGTGTTCGAATCTTCTCCAAGCACAGATCTCCGCCCAATTTGACGCAATTGGAGATAGAAACTCTAATCGTTCGATCAACAACACCAGAAACTTCTTGTTCGGGGTTGATGGAAGGTCGATTGGTCGCTAATGGAGGTCGCCGGAGTTAGGCGGAGGCAGAGGAGGGCTGCCTGTTGTGACGAGGTTGTCGCGATTTGAAGGTCGCTGAGATGAATCGGGATAGATGATGAAAGCACCGCGACGACTGAGAGAACGGCGACGATTTGCAGAGGACGTTCAGCTGCAGCGGTGGCGCGGCGGCGTCGATAGTGTATCAGAGGCGGAGTCGTGGCGGAGACGGCAGCGTGATGACGACGGCGGCGGCTATGGATGTCTGAAGATTTCGCCGGTAAGTGTGCGTGTTTGCCGGCAAGTGTGTGATGTGTGTGTGCCGCGTGGGTGTGTACTGTGTGTAATGTGTGTGTGTGTGTGTGTGAGAGAGAGAGAGAAATACAGAGTGTGTGAGAGAGAAAGAGGGTGACGTGGGTGAGAATTCTGGGAAGTGGGAATGGGGACGATTGATTGATTTAAATTGGATGTGGGGCCCACTAATGTGGTGGATAGTAGTGTGTGAATACTGTCCATAATACCCTTACTGATGGTACAATATTGGTTTTTTTTTCCAGCCATTAGATCATTCGATCTAATGGTTACAATCCATTCTTATTTCTCGCATTAAGCACCATTCTCATGTGAGCGCGACCCTATGGTTCAAATGAGAACTAAGTCTTAGTGTGAGAACCGTGAGAACCGCTATTTTTATTTAGGCGTAGTGCTATGATTGATTGTGTTTGATACTATTTTTAACTATGATGAATTTTATTAAAAATAGCAACACAAATTCTGGTAGCACTTTTAAAAATGATAGCATCATCAAATATGAAAAATAACATCATACACAATTAAAAATAGCATAAAAAACAGTTCTCACACCAGAAGTAGTTTTTATTTGAACCAGTCCCTATCTATATATATATATATATATAGGCGTAGTCCCTATATATATTTAGGCGTCGCACTCCAGCGAGAATGGTGTTCAACGAAAGAAATAAGAATAAATCTCACCCATAGGATTGAACGATCCAACTGTTGAAAAAAGTCAAAATAAATACTTTCATTAAGGGCATTGTGGTATTTTTACACACCACATTCAAAGAGAGGGCCCCATTACACGTTAATACACATTCCAAAAATACTGCAACTACCCATGTGACCAGCCCACCTACTCGGTCACCATCCCACACTTTCTCCCTCTCTCTCACATATACACACACAACCACACACACATATACACACATATACGATGCAGCACAGTCGGCCCTCATCGTCTCCGACCTCCCACCGGCGCACCACCCATCGCCGTCACACAGCCACTAGTCGCAGCGGATGCCGGTGGTCCTCCGGCGAACCACCATGCTCGCGCGCAACATACACACACACACAAAGAGCACCATCGACCTCTGCCGCCGCCGCCGCCCCCTACAGCTCGAACCGTGCCGTCGGCGACGAGAGAGGTGGTGATACGGACGGCATCCTCCCCGTCCCCGTCTGTCTCCTGGCCACAGTTGAACGTCGCATCTGCTCCCCAGGCCAACGGCGGCGGCGTGAACAAGGTTGGTCGACAGCTCTTCAGGCGGCAAGCACGTCGATCGCGGTGGTCGGACGCGAAACTTCGGTCAGCTCCAGCCATGGCGGACACCGGTTTACTCGGCCCTGAACGGTGACGGAACATGGAGGCTTTGGTCGGCAACCTCCCGTGATCGGGACGAGGGGGCGTGGGTGGTGGTCGGCCGGATTATGGAATTTGAACCAGAGGCTTCAGATTGGAAATTAGGTTATTTCAAGGGTCTTACATGCAATTTTACAAATTTTAATTATATTGCAATTGAGTACGTGGGTTAAATTTGTAAATAATGGAAACTTTAGTAAAAGGCTAAAAGCACATTAATTATAAGAAAGTGTACAATGAATGTATGAATATTATATTAAATGCACATTAGTATTATATTAAATGCACATTGATGTATTCAAGAATGCACAATAAACAAAATGAATATTAGTGATTAAATAAATAATAAATAAATAAAAAATAAAAAATAAAAAAATATTAGTAATTATAGTATTGCACCGTAGTGTTATACCGATTGCACATTAATGTATTTGTGAATGCACATTATGATCGGAATTTCGTACATAATATTTTTCCAATAAAAAAATAATATATAAAAAGTAGTAACATAGTAAAAAATAATTTGAATATAAATAATAAATTATTTCAATTATTTAGGATAATTCAATTGTCCGGCCGAATAAACCAAATAATTCAATTCGGGTTCAATTTTAATTTGTGATAAAAGTTCGTTTGAATCAATATGCACAATACCGACATGAACTGTGCACCGTTGTGTTATAAGTTTCGCACATTAATAACTGGTAGATTGCACATTATATTTTGTTTATATAGAATATCACATTTCTTAACCAAAAAATAATACAAATTATTAAATAAAAAATATTACAACACAAAATATGTGTTTATAATACAATTAATATCTATTTATATTATTCCGATTTCAATATCCTCTCGGTCGATTAAACCAAACCAAAAAATGACCCAACCAATTAATAACTATATGTAATTTTGTAAGAATTAAACTGTTTTTATAATGTGCTCGTAAATTCATAATATCGTGCATATCATGTATTGTTAGTGTGCAATATATTGAATTTTTTATAAATTACAAAACCCATTAAAATACAATATAATAAAAGTTATCAAATTGCACAAAAGTCCCTACAAAGTGTCTAATTCTCATCACAAAGCCCCAACACCCAAAAAATGAAA